ATTTTTTCTGAAATATCTTGCACAGCTCAAAAGCCATTGTCATATAACAGACCTAACTGGACCATGTAGGAGCAGAAAGCATGTGGGAAACAAAAATGATCTGGTTTTCTGGATTCCTAGTGAGACCAGTGAGTAATTTAGGTGCTTTTTTAAAACTTCAAAAGGGCTTGAAACTCTTTTGCAAAGTATTACTTTTGTTAATGGGTCACACAGAGTGATTATAGTAGGTATACACAAATTTAATTTTTAAATAAGCATTTTAATGAAGCAGTACATTTCACCAACTGAATGCATGGAAACTTACCTGAGATAGATACTGCAGGACAAACTGGAGGAGTTATTTGTTTTATAGAAGTATGTACAAGTGATACAAGTAAGACCTGAAGAACAGTGAAACTCTAAGCTGTTAAGAATCACACCCTTCTGTTTAAACTGATTCTTTGCAGGAAGGTTCCAACACATTTGTGCTTGAAGTCACAGGCATTTTTGTAGCTGTTTGCTGTTTTGACGGGTTTTCTATGGGGGGTGTGTGTGTGTAAGGTTCGGTTATCTGAGTGTTGTAGTGAGAAACTTTGTTCTCTGTAAACGTTTTTTTGAGGTTCAAATTAATTGGTATTCTCACAGACTGTCTACAGTGAGTTTATACAAAGAGTAAATAAATTGAAAACTCGCTGTAATGCATTTAAGTTCTGTGCCACTCAGATGACTAGGGAGTTACTGAGAGTGATAGTAGGGGCTGCGGATTTAGCCCAGTGGTTCTATCACCTGCCACACAAACTCAAGATCCTGAGTTCAATCCCCGGTACAATAAAAAGATACAGAGAATGATAGTAAAGGAAAATAGTTCTATTTTCTATAGGGCTTCAAGGAACTTGGAACTTAGATTTGGAATGGGTAAGATGTTAAAAGTCTTTAAATCCATCTTTGCCTTATGGTTTACATCTCATCTTTTTCATGAGGATTCGAATATAGTGAAATTTCTTGGCCCATTTTAGAAGGTGTGCTTAAATGGAATGTTGTTGCTCATAACCCAGTATCAACCTACGATAGCATTTGAGTTTTACTTTAGGAACTGCTGCAGTAATTGCCATCTGCTATGGACTTTTTGCAAGTAGTGCTGATGTGAAACTACATGCTGCTGGTTGAAATGATTACATAGTAGGTGGGGTAATAGGAAATTACCACTTGCATAGGTCAAAAGTGACCAACTACTGACAGTTTCCTATGATTGAATGTAATTATTATATTTATTATAGAAATTCAATAAAGAGTTTAAAGATCCAGAAAACCCCTAATTACTAGGTGATGGAAGTACATATAATCTATAATACATTGTTTAAAAGGGCTTATCAGAACCATATGTGGTGTATGCCTATAACCCTAGTGAAGTCTCCTGGAAAGCCTGTAATGCAGCTTTATAGTTTATTTCCAAAAGTCTGATAATTTGAAAAGATCTTACAGGTAAGTACACAATTGGGAAGCAACAGTTTCACTAAACTTTTTCTCTGACTTCAGTTTCCTCCAGCTGGGGCTGGGCTACTTGATCTCATCAGGGCCCTCCTACTATTAACTGGAGCCTACACCTGTCAGACCCTTAGTGACCTTTAACTATGTGCCCCAGTACTTTCAGAAGCAGTATTGATTCATCCCAGATATTTCAAACTAGTTGAATGCCAAAACAACTGCAAAATAACCACATGAGGAAAAGAATTCTTTAGTTTTATAATTCTATTAAGTATACCACGTCCTATCTTTTTGGGTTTCTTTGTCCATCCGTTTTTTGTTGTTTTAGTATTTTCTGCAAAGTTATACCCTTCTAATGAAGCAATTGTAAAATGTACCTACTAATTTTTTAGTTTCTATTTTTCCTAAAAATATTTCCCAGCAGTTTTCTAGATTTATATTTAGTTGCTGCTTGGAGCTTCATTTTTTCAGATGACTTGGCTGATTTCAAGAAAAATCTAAATATTACATGTGATACTCCATTAACTGAATTAACATTAAGGTGGTGTGAACATGTTCCAGATTATACCATAATAGACAGTTACCATTGGGTCAGGTGAAATAGGTAAAGGTAAAAATGCTTCCTACATCCTGTTAAGGTAACAGTTGGTTCTATGCAGCTACACAACACCTTGCACAATAGTGCAATAAAAAACAAGTGCTTAGATGGTCTAAGGTTGTTGGAAAGGTTACTCAGTCCAGGATTATGATATAACACAATCAAGGGCATTTAAAATATTTAAAACTTTTGTTTACCTCACATCTTTCTACCCTATTTGGTTCTTTTAAGTTCCTTAGCCGTGCTTTACATTGTCAGAATCAGTATATTGGGATTGTTTATATTCAAAATTACTTTTACAGATGTCTGAACTGTAAAATAACTGTTACAGGTTGTCATCAGTTTAAAAAACTCAACCCAGTATTCTAGATTAAATCTACTAATCCTTTAAATGAAGCATTTTGGCTGAGTGAATTTTATTTATATTTCTGATTAAAGTTTTTTTTTTTTAAGAGCATACATTTTCACAGCATTGATACACTATAGTTTTTTAGTATGGCACAGTTAATATGTTAAGGGTTTTACTATGTGTTAAGATAGTTACCTAATCTTTTCCAGTTATCACTTTGCTTTTAGCTGTCTTCTTCCTCTTTTTTATAAATTTAGAGCTAATAAGATGGCAGAGAATCACCCAAATTTTCTAGGCAAACAATCTATAGAATAAAATAGTTATGGGGCTTACATGCCACCTGTTTTTCACACAAGGGTTCTCAGTACTTCTTGAATGGTGTGATTTTTATGAAGTAATGATCTGTTTGATGACTTTTAATACTTCCATAAGTACTCCATCATCTGGAAAATATTTGAAAGCAAGAGAATTCACTTAAAGTGAGAAAAGAGTAAACCTCCAAGATTACTTGTTGCCCAACAAAAGTTTTTATACAGCATCCTAGGACTAACGTTAACAAAAGTGAAGGGATTGAGAGCTGCTGAAACCTTTTATGCCAAGTCTTAAGACAGAACCCCCTTGCCAACTCTTTAACTGCTTGGGAGCTAATATAGTGAAGCAAGTTGTAAATGAACATGGTGAACTGGAGGAGACACTTGGTTTAACTTTAATTTCAGTAGTTATGTAACTTTAGAAGTAATTTGCTTTGGGTTTGTTTCCCCTAGTTACACAGAATGAAAGAAATTTTACTGTCAAGGTCTCTACTTGTCCTTTTCTTCAAATGAGGAAGCATTAATCCTTAGCGTATGGTTCACTTGTTGCAGAAATTTGACTTGAATTCCGTCCCTAGTATTTCCTAAGTGTTTTTTAACTTAAAAAAAAACAAACAAAAAAACGTGGGGATTAACCTAGGGCCTCCCAGCCAGTGAGCTCCATCTCCACCATTCCTTTAACACACACACAAATGCGTGTGCCCACACAGATGAAGAGCATGGAAGTCTACATTTGTCAGAAATCAGCTTTTCTTAGCATGTCTCAGGCAAGTTACTTCATTAAACCCCAGTTTCTCATGTAAATGTACATAGGGAGATAAAAGTGTTCTGAGTACAATGCTAGCATGTTCAGTACCCAGTATTTTGTAAGAAAATACCACTAAAAGATGAAGGATCTATTATAGATCATATTTGCATAAATTAACCCCACTGTGATAGAGCTCTTAGATGACATTTGCCAAACAGCTTTCAATGAAATTGAATTTTATTTGAAACGAAGCCCAGAGAAAACTGATTAGTGTGAGAGAAAAATGCAAGCTACTGTGCTCCTTAGTATTTTAAAGTGGTTTCTTGTTTTAACACTTCTCTTAAAACAGGTATGTTATTTGTATTAAACACTCAAAAGTCCTTATAGCTACATTAAGCCTCCCTTTTACAGTGAATGCTTGATTACATATGAACACATTTTTTTCCTTTAAATATCTTCACAGAAATTTTCTGAAATAAACTAGTCATCAGATTCTATTTATGAGTTCAGCTACTCACTAAAATTTATCTCAAAATCAACAGCTGACGTGCTGTTTTGGTCATTTTTGAACATTGACAGACAAAACTGAAGCACTGTTAAGGCAAAGTTTCAACAATGGCAATGTTAAAATTAGGCATGTTAGGCAATGTTAAAAAAAAAGGGGAAACGTCTTTTTGTTTCAGCTCTTATACTAAAAACAAGTATCCTTTTTATGATTCATTTAGTGTCCAATTTCATGTTTGTGTTTTTTGTCATTTTTGTTTTAAGATGACTTCCAGCCATGGTAAAGTGCTGTCTTGTATTCATAAAAGCAAAGAAATGAATGCTATGCAAAGGGTGAGTTATATGCCATAGAAAAGTTCAGTGTTGAGAAACAATATATTGAGTAAGGTATCTTAAACAGAAACATGCATAATACAAAGTTAGGTATGTAATGACTGGTTGACAGAATATGACCAGAGGCTCAGAGGAATCGGCAACTCCTCCACAAAAATTGTTGAGTATTTGCTAATTATTTACAACTTTAGAACACAACTATTGCAAATAATGGAAACCAACTATGCGTTTCACTCCTTACATCTCAAAATAACTTTATTCTGCACAAAAACTTTAAAAGCTTGTGCTTTATCACACTATGTCATGAGATTTTAAATAAAGGTACCCAATAGAAAATAAACCCAAAGATCTGATATGCTCTTACTTTAAAATGCCCCTAAACAACTATTAACACTAAATATGGTCACCTCCATTTTTACCTTAAAAACCCTTGTGTTCTACATTAATAGAAACTACACTGATTTCAGAAAGTTTAGACGCCAATATAATTATCTTACAGCTACATATACTATTGTTGGGGATCAAAAATGGTAATTTACCTCAGATATTTTCTATAGGTCCTCTAAATACATTATTTAAGAATATAGATTCGGGGCTGGGGATTTAGCTCAGTGGTTCTGCTGCCTGCCTTGAAAGTGCAAGGACCTGGGTTCGATCCCTAGTACCAAACAAACTAAAACAACGAAAAGCATATAGATTGTAAAATACAGTATTTTATGTTAGGATGAAAGTTGTTTGCATTCAAATGTCATTTAAATTTGTTAGTATATATATATTCTTAGTAGTTTCAGGTAAGTAATATTTTGATACTGAGGGAATTTCAGTTGTACCAATAGTGTTTAAGCTTGGTCATAACAATAACAAAACCTGGATTGTGTTTAGGAAAAATTTATAAGTATTCAGTATCTTAAGGGCTGGATGAATACAATGTAAATACTTCAAACCTTTACTGTATTTTTATAGTTTTAATTTAGTAAATCAGAATGGTCAGTGACTTACCTAGGTAATTTCTTAAGTCAGTGTGGGTAAATTGATTTTTACATACAAGGTTCCAAAGAGTTGGGCCAGTTGTAATTGAGCAACTTTTCTTTCCAACATTCTAAACTACTTAAACACTTTATGTTAATTACATCATACTTATCATATATTTTAGTTACAGATTTGTCTCTCATTAGACTAGGAGCTCCTTAAGAACAAGGACTTTACCCTGATGAGCACACAGACACCATATTACTTGCTAAGTGAACAGAAATGAACAATGTTTCCATATATATGCTGTATATTATTGAATATTAATCCAAATAATAACCTGTAATCTAATTTTAAAATGCTCAAATAAAATTAAACCAAGGCTTTGATTGAGCTATGCTAAACCATTTTAAGAAAATTGTAGCTCAGAGGTGTTTTATTATAAAAAGTTAGTAGTCTTATACATAAGCTAGTATGAACTTAAAATTCATCATACATTTACTTCATTTTTTAGCTTGACCATCTAGTAAATCTTTAGCTTCATTGATTTTGGCTGCTATATAAGGAGATCCTCCTATAGAAAGAAAGGAAAAAGGAATCGTTATGATGTAGATTTTAAATTTTTGTTTAGTAAAATGCTACTTTCACTTCAAAGATCCCGTGTATGAGGTGGAATCAACAGAAATTATGTTTTTATTTAAAAAATGATACTGCCAACAGATCACCATATGAAGGGGATATACACAACATGAAATCTTTAGAAAGCTTCATTAACAAATAGGATTTTAACATATCTTAAATATATATGTGCTTTGGAAGTAGAATAAGTCTATTCATAATGATTACAAGTTATGAATAAGCATCAATTTATTGTTATCTTAACACCATGATATTCTCAGGCCCAGGGATTTAGCTCAGCGGTGCTGCTGCCTGTTTTACAAGCACAAGGTCCTGAATTCGATCCCTGGTACCGAAACAACAAAGAAAACATGATATTCTCAGCAGCTTCTGGGTTCTTTGTTGGGAAGACCTGAGTTTGTTTCAGATTGTTTTTATGCCCTCAGTTTTTCTCCTGTGATCAACTGTACTTTCATAAGGTTCTCTATTTCTACCCCTACTAATCTTACGGAGCACTGTGGTCCAAACAGCAGCAAGCAGCATCACGAAGCTTGATAGAAATGCAAATTTGTGGGCTTTACCCTACACTTATTAAAATATCAGAAGTCCACCAGGTAATAAAAACAAAAAAACTAAGTTTCATATACTGAGGTCAAATGCCAAACAACTGACAATCCTGTTTTAAAGTGTTAAAACCGTTTTTGTTTTTTTTTGGTACCAGGGATTGAACTCCAGTCCTTGCGCTTGCAAGGCAGGCCCCCGAACCGCCGAGCTAAACCCCCGGCCGTTAAAACCCTTTCAGTGAAAGACCTCTCCTATATGAGCACACTGGAATTTGATTTCTATGTTCTATGTTTTGGTGTTCAGAGGAATTACTTGATTTCAATGCAGTGAGGGCTTCTTGAAAGTTTGTCAGAAGCAAATAAAATAGTCTATAAGTTTCTAACTAGGTATTCTCCAGCATTTGCTTTCTTTATGAATGTGAGAGGAAAAAAAAACAAAAAACCAAAACTGATATTTGTAACCAGCACTACTCCAAGTGAATTTTATCAGAATTGTAGATCTCAAAACATTAACATTTATTATTACTGTCAAATTACAGTAATTCTTACATCTGGTCATTCTGTAAATATTTCACTCATTTCATTTAAGATACTAAAAATAGACTGGGAGACTGCTTACACACTCCCTTACAACAATCAAGAATTAGAGAAAAAGTTATTCTATCAATAGTAGTTATTCTAGGAACATACAAAGAAGGATTTAATGATTACTTACCTTTATCTGGATGATTTAAGAGCATAATTCGTCGATGAGCATCTCTTATTTTTCCTTTATTGGCAGTAGGGCTAATTAAAAAGGAAAAGGTGTTAGTTACTTCAGTTTTCTGGACCACAACAAAAAAATTGTACACAAAAAGCAGTTAAAGATTGTGAAACAAATCAGAAAAACGGTATAAAAAATTGAGACTCTTAAGATGTAAAATGTATTTTCTGAATCAACCAAACCATACCTTTAAGGCATTCTCAAAATATAGTTGGACTTCATTAACATTCATTACAAACTCCTTTTAATAAAAAGGAAAACACTTACGTATTTGGAAATGAAGGCAGAATTTCACTACAGAAAATGTTTTACTCAGTTACAGAGAACAAACACAGCACTGTGATAATATGTTGTCTTCAATAAGTGAAAAAGTGCTTTGTCCTAGTGTGGCTTCTCATTTGACTTTTGTATAAGTAAGTGTTCACACCTTTAATATGTACACGGAAGAAGGAGCAGCAAGGCTCCATTGACCAAAAGAAAATACCAGTCTTCCTGGGACAAAATTTCTCTAGTAATTCTCTATACTTATTGTAGAAAAACAATATTTAAATTATTTTACCTTACACCTAGTATTAATGCTGCTTCCCGTTTTGTCATTTTGGGTTCAAACCCACCTCTGTAATAGCCACCACTGAAGGCCTGAAAAGAAATACATTTACAAAATTAATAAAGTTGCTAAAAGTCTGTAACATCAGTAGAAAAGACATTTCTGAGAAATTGATGTACAATTCCTGTGGTATTTCAATTTTACAAAGTAGAAAAAATATTTTTATCAATCACTAAACAGTTCAACAACAGGAAGTGTCTCAAAACTAGTTCATTCAGGAGTGAAGGGAAGACCTCCCATTCAGCCATATTCTAGATAAAAGTTTTGATCACGTATAATATTTAGAAGAGGTCTTCTGAGTTCAAGGTAACCACTAAAACAAGACTTTATGATGTGGAGAAAGTCATGCTACCTTATTAGGTTAGAAATCACACTGGTAAAAGAAAATTATCCAAAAGATCTGATATGCTCTTACTTTAAAATGCTCCTAAACAATTAACACTAAATATGGTCACCTCCATTTTCACCTTAAAAACCCTCATGAAGAGAAACTACACTGATTTCAGAAAGTATAGACGCCAGTATAATTTATCTTATAGCTACATATACTATTACACTGGTAATAGCATCACTTCATCCTCACACATTTAATTGACTGCAGAGTATGGTTACTGTACCTGCGTAATTGTGCTAAGTATCTTAGGGAGTGCCAGGGATGCACGTTAAGAATAGATCACGTTAGATCTTTTTGTGCTTTTGATGCAGAGAAGGTGAGGGAAGGCAAGAAAGCAGAATGAAAATGTTGTTAAAAGTATGTGAACAGTAATACTAACTTTCACAATTCTACAATGATTAACACCATGCCCCTTAACGGTCTCATAACATTTGATTTCTCAGTGTAGCCTCATTCCAACTTCCACATTCTTTTTGTGGAATGCAAAAGAAGGGGCCACAAGCAATCACTCTGAACTTCAGGGATGTTTGTAAATTCACCCTTCCTAAGTGCAGCTTTAGGCTTCAAACAAGAAATAAAATTAGCAAAAATAGCCTTACAGATTTTGGTAGGCTCTGAAAAACTTGTTTTACTTGAGGCTCCATATGCTTCATGGCTTGTAAAACATAACGGCCTAAAACCAAAAGCAACAGAGTAAGTAAGTTAATTCCCAGGCTCCCCACTTAATTTCTACATCCAAACCATAAACAAACCTGCAAATCCTGCAGCAGCTATGGTCAGTCCAACTGCTACCACTGTACTGGCCTGGTAAAGGGGGAAAAATATATTCAGCTCTTTAATTTTCACTCTCCTCATGCCCTCTCTCCCATCCAAACTCATTAAAGGTGCAATGAGATCAACGATTTTTAAGGTGGAAAAGTTTTGATCAACTAACCTTTAAAACTACCGCAACTTCTACAGAAGAGGCATATAACCCTATGAGCTTTTTCACTACGGAAGAAGAGGGACCAACTTGCTTATTTACCTCTACTGCAGTGAAAAGGTTCACCCGCAGGGAAATAAGGTCACACTAAAGGTCAATCAAGAGCAATGGAAATAAGGTTTCTGCTGCAGAAGGAAAAATTGTTGAGTTCCTGCAAGTGTCAGATTTTCAACACTAAACGTGGGGGTGTAACTTCAGTTTCTGATGCTAACTCCTCCACTGTTTTATGGCAGAGCCCCAAATATATATATTCAGAAAGCCAGGATTAGGGCTGTCAGCAACAGCCTGAGGGAAAGGACAGTGCAAAGGGAAGCATGAAGTGTGAGAATGTGTTAGGGGAAGGACAAAAAAAAAAAAAAAAATCAAACACCTTTCCACTAATCTCCAAATCCACTACAGCCTTTGACCTTAAAGGCATCGTTTTCGCACCCAGAGATCAGAACGCGGGACCACTGACTGGAGTTCCCGCCGAGGAACAGCGGGAAAGGAACAACACTCAAAGACCAACGAGGGTTGCACCAACAGTTTTGTGTCGTGGAGGTTGTGAGGCCCCGGAGATCTAAACCTTTTACCCACAGACTCAGTAAGGACCCGAACCTCAGCTCCACTTCCCCGAAGCCGGAAAGTGAGGTTGAGGCCTCACCTCAGAGTTAGCATCTGAGGGAGAGGTCGTCGGAGACACCGGAAGGCTGCACTCACCATGTTTCTGCCCAGCTCTCCGCCTTCACTGGGAGAGCGGTTCATCCCAGCCCCGGGCCATTGCCCCCAACTACCTGCCTTTGCCAGAAAGCGACACAACTACCGCCGCTAAGCACAAACCTCCCAAGTACAGTACGAATTACGGCAGTAGCAGTCGCAAACTAAGCCGGAAAACTGTCGTAAAAGGAGACCGAAAAGGAGGCGGTAAGGTCGCTGCTGCAGTGGGAGGGCCGAGAACCAGACTTTGGGTTGGTTGAAAGGTGGGCGGGTCGCCTCTTTTCGAGGGTTTAAGGGTGGGACTTTTCACTGTGCTTTGCTCTTTTCTCCGGGATTTTTGGGACTTGGGAATTCTTGTCAGGGAAAGCCTGAGCATGAAAGAATCTAAGGAAATAGTTTCGTTTCCTACCTCTCTGCACCTCGCGTTGCCCCTTAACGGTGGTTTGTTTATAAATTTCATTTGTAGTGAATATGTTTAATCATGTTGTGACAGATTTCCATCATGAAGCTACGCAAATGTGTAGCAGCCTTCAGTAGTCAACAAGAAGATGTTCCAGAAAACCAAACGAACTATTATAATATTAAGGGGTTGCGCGTTAGCATTCTTTTATTTAAAGGAAATTTATTTAAAAATATAAATCGACAGGTCTTATATGAATGGTTGGATTTTTAATTTGTAGAATGGGCCACTTCACAGACAGTAGCTTGATCATGGGATCTCAACGTTCTACAACTGAAATGAGCTGTAAATTTAGCCCCTCCGCGGTCCCTCATCAGAAAATAGGGCTTGAGTTTGACATTTCAGTGCATCCATTTCATAGATGCTTACATAAATGCTTGAGAAAAGAAAAATAATGAAGACAGTAATTGAATTATTAATTCAATGTTTGGATGAATAAACTTGAAGTTACCGCTCATTTGGAAATTAGAGTGTTAAAAATCTGTTTACGGTACAATTTTCCTGTAATGGGTTGGTTATTAGATAAATACTGATATTTATGGCTTTGCTGACCTCAACTACAAAAAATATTTTCCATTTGAAACTCCAAAAGCCCATGTATCCCTAAGAATTTTGTGATGGAATTGTCAACACATTATTTAATTTCATCTAACACTAACATATTGGTATTAAGTATACATCTTCCCCCTTTGCCTCTGTTTTATCTAGTTTTTACCAAACAACTACACAATAAATAATCAATGGAGGCATGAGACTTTGGGAGCAAATTGGCAAAAACAAGCTAGAATGCTGTTTGGGAAAATCCATTATGTATATTGTTGCTGTGTATAAACAACAAGTTACCATACAAAAGCCTAGCTTTAAAAAACTGGAAGTAGGAAATGTAGCAAGACATTTTGTCCAGGTGGTGATAGCTCTGATTCTGGAGGTAGATCAAACTGAAGGTACAACCTGGTTCTTTCACTTACTAGTTCTGTGAGTTGGATGAGTTGTTTCTGACGCTTGAGTTTTTCATTTGTAAAACAAGAGCAGTGATGATTACTATGCCATGTTTTGGGGCAGTTAAGGATTATGTACATAGTGTGCTCTAATCATTGCTCAGTGTGGGGCCTTATTCTGAGGGGAGCCACAGTAAAGCTTGGTGTGTAGAGACCTTGATTCTCAGGACGCTGTACTTGTGGATATTAATTTGGTTCTTCTGTGTGCTCAAATTCTGAAAAAGACAAAAACAACCTTTAAAATTACCCCTGAATTACTGAATGGATAAATAATTATTACTCGCTTCTTCTGGCTTCAGCTGACTGCCAGAATTCCTTGACTTGTTACAAAGTCATTCTAATATTGGCGGCCAACATCTTGAAAGAGGATGATTCTATTTCGTCTTTATATTGCCCTTCTCTGAGTGTAATACTTCTTTCTGCTTCTTTCTTAAAGGATATATGTAGTTGCACATATAATCCAGGATAATCTTCTCCTCTCAAGATCTTTAATTTAATCATAGTTTCAAAGACATTGCAATAGAAGATAGTATTCACAGGTTCCAGGAGCTAGATCCACATGTCTTTGGGTGCTATTATTTAGTTTACTGCAGAAAATAAGAAAAGAAAAAAGGACTAGCAGGGACAAAGAATGTGTGCTTACCTTCTACTTCCAAATATGTAATTGGTTAAATCACATGTACTTGAAGAGGCATAAGTGAGAGGTGAGAGGAATAGATACCTAAGAGTTTTCGTCTTGCATTGTGAATTTCAAACATTTTTTTTACCATGACCTTTATTAAGAAACATATTTTACATTGTGGTCTAATGAACAGATACATACCTGAGCATATATGTAGCTGTATACACACACACACACACACACACACACACACACACGGACATGCAGACACCCATCATTTAAATGTGTTTTATGAGGCAATATTTTAACTTCATGAGATACCTGCTGCTCTTTTTAATGTTTTCCCATTTTTTTGGAGATAGGGTCTCATTCTATGACCCTCAGCCTGCAATCCTGCCTAGGTTTAAACTTGCAGTCCTTCTGCCCAGCCTTCCAAATGTTGGCATAGCAAATGTGTACCACTCTGCCTGTCTGGCTATTCGTTTATTTATTTATTTCATAAATCTAGAAAACTTTTTAAGTTCATGAACCTCTAATTGGTCATAATCTAAAGTTTAGAAAGCATAACTCTACAAAAATGCATATTTGGAATAATGCCAGGCAAATAATGTTTATTCTTCTCTCTGAAAACTATATGCCAGACATTTGCTTTATGTAGATGGTTTCATTTCACCCTATGAAAGTAACATTTGTGTTTTGCAGGTCCTGATATTTAACTGATAAGTTTTGTTTTCTCCTCCAGATCCCCTCTCCAGCCTTCCCTTTTTTAAACCATGCTGTGTGCCCCAGAGGAGCACAGGAGGTTAGGACTTTAAAGGACTGCATCGATGGTCTCGTTTGTCTTCTGCCTTGGAGTTCACTTATTTGTGTGATCAGCGCATCAGTCGGTAGGAAAAATGTAAGTTCATGATCTTCATTTTTCTTTCTGGAGGTTGCCTTAGGCTGAGTGAAGCTTTCCACTGAAGAAAACAACTTCTGATGCATGTGTGTTGGTAATTACTCCTGCCTCTTCTTCAGGTCTAAGAGTATTAATGACTTGCCTGTCCCCTACTTCCTCTGCTGAACACAGGACACTTAACCATTTATTCCCACTTTCCCTTAATCCTATCCACATCTTTGTAAACTGTCCCTTTATCAATGTCTCCTTTTACCTATGTTACTCTGCCTGCTGAGGGTTTGTGTTCTCCAAATTCACATGTTGAAACCTAATCATGAATGTGATGGTATTAGGAGATGATGTGTTTGAAAGGTGTTTAGGTCATGAGAGCAAAGCCATTATTATGAACGGGATTACTACCTGATAAGAAAGGTAACATCTATGGGCCATATCGCTGTCCCTTACCAGACATGGACCCTTCCTTGACTTGGCTTTAGACTGAAAAGATGGCTGTGTATGAGGAAACAGGCTCTGACCAGATACTGAATCTGCCACTGCTTTGGTCTTGAGCTTGTAACCTCCAGAGGTGTGGGAAATAAATGTCTGTTGTTTAGGGTCACACAGGCTTTGATATTATGTTACAGCAGCTCAAACTGACTAAGGCAGTGCACTGTTTGTTACTAGCATGTATAAGGATTATTGTAAGATGCTGCTGTAGTGATTCAAGTGGAAGATGATAGCAGAAGTGGGGTCAAAGTGTTTAGACTTGGGCCGGGAATTCAGCTCAATGGTGCTGCGCTTGCTTGGCAAGCATAGGGTCCTGAGTTTGATCCCCAGTTACCCTCCCAAATAAAAACCAAAGTAGGTGTATATATTGTTACTAGCATGTATAAGGATTATTGTAAGATGCTGCTGTAGTGATTCAAGTGGAAGATGATAGCAGAAGTGGGGTCAAAGTGTTTAGACTTGGGCCGGGAATTCAGCTCAATGGTGCTGCGCTTGCTTGGCAAGCATAGGGTCCTGAGTTTGATCCCCAGTTACCCTCCCAAATAAAAACCAAAGTAGGTGTATATATATAT